ACACAGACCCTTGGAGAGGTCTGTGTGCTGTTTAGGGTGCCAAAAAGCCAGAAATAAAGTGTCTTTTGTTGGCAATTTTATGAAATGTTTCATTTGTAAATGTCACTGCTGCTTCACCACTTTGTGTACATCACAGAAATGTGCCAATTCAAATTCACAGGCAAGATTAAGGCACCCCACTCATGTTTTTCTTAAAAGGAATTGCGCATTTTTAATTTTTCACTTTAAGCATTTTTTAAAAAATCTCTGTTTCTGGTTGAATTGAATATTTAAACTTAGATATGACATCCCAATTTCTTTGAAGTTCACCAAAAACTCTCAAATTAAGATCCAGGGCAGTTGGACTCATCCCTACTTACTATCTGCAACATTTTAAGCAGTAAAAAAATTAATCTGATTTTAAGGTGGACTTTTAATGGATCTTTTGTTATGACAATAGTGTCAAGTATTAAGGAATATATTATTTGAGGAGTTGGATATTTTGTCCATTTTTTTAAAAAAGTGTTTGATGATTTATTCTGACTTGTCCTCTTAAACCTTTTTTCTTTATTTAATTAGTATATGTATGTACCTCAAAGTTGTCAAGCACACCCCTTTAAATAAAAAGATTAAATAAATACAGCTGGTGGTATTTCTACCATGTTGACTGCAACACATTCATGTGCCGGCATGCCTGTAACAACTAATTTAAAAATGTTTAGTTTTAGGTCCTTGTTTATGTATTTCTCCATGCAAAAGTTGAAAATAGAATATTTATATGGGCAAGTATCAAACCCAATTAACCCTGTTTATTAGCAGCAATTGTAGTAGGGAGAAGCTAACTGATACATGGAAGGCATCTAAAACATAATGGAGGGCCCAACATGCAACTACATGTGCATATATAAAGGTCAAATGGTCAAAATTAGTTTGACACAGATCGGTTCACTTATCACTAGCTGAGGACAATTGCAACTATTTTGTTATTTAGAAAACTGATGGTTTTCTTCAAATATAAACATATAAACGTGTTTAGCACAACTGAAGTAAGACAAGCCCATAATTAAGATTTTATTAATCCTAATAATTTAATCCTTAACATCAAACATTCTTTCTGATTAAGCCTGTAATTAAATTTGCCAAATGAGTTTCAATATTCATGAAGTATCCAGTATAAAAATAAAAAAAAATGCATTATTTATGGACACATTTTGAACTGGTCATTATACTTTAGGAAGAAACATAAAATACTTATACCAGAAATGTTACAACAACATTGATGGAATTATGCTTTATGAATTATTCAGGTTTTTTTGTCCAAGGTTGGTAGGCACACTGAAGGACTTTCATATACAAAAATACAATCAACTAACATGTTTACATGCACAGAGGAATCAAGGTGAAATTGCACTACTACAATAGAACATGCCGTGTCACTATTATATGAAATTGTAAACAACAGATATTTAAGTGTTGAATCACATAATAAAATAATAATAGTGCTGATTCCTTTCAGGTAATATATGGAAAATTGGAGCATTACATTTTAATTTGAAGTTTTACTTTAAATTAATATTATAAGCAAGAGTAGACAATTCAAATTAATAAATATGTTCATGGGAGTAAAATTTAATGTTCCATCAGTATTTAAAAATTACTTTTATTTTAATCTGTAGTGCTGTAATCTTTTATCAAATGCATTGCAATATGGCAACCTAAAGGCATTCTGTACATCATCAGTGTGTAGAATGCCTCCAAAATGTCTTTTCCTGTTTACCGTATTTTTCGCTCCATAAGACGCACCTAGATTTTAGCGGAGGAAAACAGGAAAAAAATTATTCTGAACTAATGGACTGCAGACATAGTACAGGAGATGATCAGAGACTGGGGACACAGTACAGGAGATGACCAGAGACTGCAGACACAGTACAGGGGATGACCAGAGACTGCAGACACAGTACAGGGGATGATCAGAGACTGCGGACACAGTACAGGGGATGACCAGAGACTGCGGACATAGTACAGGAGATGACCAGAGACTGCAGACATAGTACAGAGGATGACCAGAGACTGCGGACACAGTACATGGGATGGGACCAGAGACTGCAGACATAGTACAGGGGATGACCAGAGACTGCGGACACAGTACATGGGATGACCAGAGACTGCAGACATAGTACAGGGGATGACCAGAGACTGCGGACACAGTACATGGGATGACCAGAGACTGCGGACATACTACAGGAGATGACCAGAGACTGCGGACACAGTACAGGGGATGACCAGAGACTGTGGACATAGTACAGGGGATGACCAGAGACTGCAGACATAGTACAGGGGATGACCAGAGACTGTGGACACAGTACATGGGATGACCAGAGACTGTGGACATACTACAGGAGATGACCAGAGACTGCAGACACAGTACAGGAGATGACCAGAGACTGCGGACATAGTACATGAGATGACCAGAGACTGCGGACATAGTACATGAGATGACCAGAGACTGTGGACATAGTACAGATGACCAGAGACTGCTGACCTTTAGGGGGCGGAGGGGGGGGAGCGGGTACCCAAATCTGACAGGTACCCTTTCCCAATTCCGCGGAGTTGTTCCCCCCCCCCTCCCTGTAATCTTCTGGGACACGTGACAGGTCCCAGAAGATTACAGGGCCATTCACAAAGCGCAGCACTTCTCGCTCATGAGCAGTGGGCACCCAGCTGTCACAGCCGGGCGCCCATGCCGGCACCAGTGAGAGAAGACTGAGGACACCGCTAGACCGAGGCAATGGTAGGATCGCTGGAGGTCTGCAGAGAAGAGAAGAGCAGCCGGCCCGGTATTCTAACATGGGGGGAATACCTGGCCAGCCACTCCATATTTGCTCCATAGGACACACAGATATTTTCCCCCATTTTTTTGGGGGGAAAGTGTGTCTTATGGAGCGAAAACTACGGTATGTGATTGATTCACTGATTTTCCAAGAAGTGTGCACTAATATACAAGTCAGATTTCTGTCACCACATGTAATAGAAATTTCAGTTTTGGTGAGATAATCCCTAAGGGGTAATTATTTCTAGAGGGATGCAGAAACTGCAGCTTTCCTCATTAGAATGCAGAAAGTTCACCAGCTGATTATAATGGACCAATCTCTCACATTCAGAATGAGTATGCTATCATTCTGGTGAAACCAAACAGCTATTTTGTATGCTACAATGTTTGTTAAAATCTCTGCATTGTAGATTGGAGGGGATTTTTTTTCTCAACAAAGTGGAGTTACTCTTTAACTACTTTAAAGCGGTAGTAAAGTCTCATTACGAAAAATGTGCCTCCTGTAGATTTAAGCCATAATGTACTAGTATGCACTGCATACTAATACACTATGAGAGACTTCTTATAGATGGAGCCGTCCAGCACTGAGCCATCACAGCTCTTTCTGGTCCACTGCGCTTCCATGTTAACCCAATCTTTCATCCGGGTTCCATATCTCTGGCCACTTGAATAGCCGGGCTGTGGTGACATCATTCCTGCACATGCACACAGGAGTCACTCCGCAGAGCGGGCCATATATGCGGTGTGAGCTGCACGTTCGTGGCTCAGATCGCATTAACTGCTGAAAGGAAAGGGATAATTTATGACAGAAGAGACCTCTAGGGTCCCTTTTGTTATAAATACCTTGCCTGTCATTGTTTTTTTTACTATCCACTTTAAGTCCAGACTGTTTCATCCCCTTTCTGCCCAGGCTTTTCAGATTTCAGTGCTGTCACTCTATAATTTCTATATAATTTTTGAGACAGGTAGAGCTTTCTTTCATTGGTAAATACCAATAAATATTCACCATTGTGTTTTTTTATTTCTTGTTATATGAAGGAAAAAAAGTTTTGGTTTCTGTTATAAAAATTAGCAAAAAAAAAAGCAAATGCACATATATTATTTAGTCTGTGTGAAAGTCAGAGAATCTACAAACCATGGTATACTGTATATATTTGAAAATTGATCGATCCTGGTGTACTGCTTGCCTATCTCTTTTCTTGAGGCCCTAACATGCCAGCAAAGTACAAATACCCCCAAAATAATCCCTTTTATAAAGTAGACAGTCAAATGTATTTAAAAAGAGGCATGGTGAGTTTTTAAAAGTTATAGTTTTTTTGAAAATGATAAATATATGATATTTTTTTTTTTTTTACAAAGTTGTCATTTTTACACATTATTTCTCATACAGCATAGGCATACTTACAATTACACACCAGCACACATTTCACTCTTCCGCCTGAGTATGAGGATACCGCATGTGCAAGACTTTTTCTTTATATATATTCTATTGGAACTGTACCATGTGATTGCCTGCAGCCTTTGAATGGTTTTCTTGTCACAGCCATCAGCTATAAAAGGAAGCCGATTGTTTACTGCAGTCAATAGTCCAAGGCACTTTGAATACATTTGGCCAGTCTATAGGGTATCGCATGCCATTTAAACAATAATTTATAGTTGGTTTCATTAAATGAGGAGTGATCCATGCACAATAGTGTCCCAAATCTGGATCCACTCTGTGGCTCAGTGGGGTGAGAGTTCAGGGTGAATCCAGGTGTTTCAAAACAGATCGCACATAATTTAAAATTTGAAGATATTTAAACATCTCCAAAGAAGGAATGTGATGCCTGTAGCAAAGAGAAGCTTAGCATATCGTATATAGTCAGCAAGTAGTACACCTGACAAAAGCTTACTGTCAGGGTCCAAATCAGAACCTGTGACCTCTGATGTGTCTGGCTGCAGCACTTCCCACTGAGCCACCTGAGATGCTGGACAGCTCCCTTTCTGATCCTTTACTTGCCCCCTGCCTGCCATATAAGGAAATGACGGGTGCACGGTGATTCTCTCGTTCTGGGAGGATGTCATATGACGTCCTCCCACTCTAACTGCGCATGCACGGCTCAGGGGGAGTGCACCGCGGCGATTGGTGATGCGCTGTGTCCCTTGGACACAGCAGATCACCGATCAATGGAAAGAGCCGAAGACGTGGCTCTGTCGTGTGATCAGCTGTGTCCAATCACAGCTGAAGCATGTAAATAAGGAAATGCTGGTTATTGGCATTTCTCCCCTCACAAGCTGTCACACTGACAGCTCATGAGGATAGGAGAGCTGGTAATTGGCATTCCTCAGAGGGACATGTACACTGATCATTAGGGCACTGATGATTAGTGTGCCCTGATGATCAGTGTAGCTCCATCAGTGTCACCTGTCAGTGTCCATCAATGTCAGATGCCAGTGCTCATCAATGCCACCTGCCAGTGCCCATCAATGTCACATCAATGCCACATATCAGTGCCTACCAGTGCACATCAATGCCACATATCAGTGCCCATCTGAGCTGCCTTTCAGTGCCACCTATCAGTGCCAGTCAGTGCCACCTATCAGTGCTGCAAATCAGTGCCAGTCAGTGCCGCATATCAGTGTGCATCAGTGCCGCCTATCAGTATGCAACAGTGCTGCCTATCAGTGCCGCCTAACAGTGCAAGGCTGTGCCACCTAACAGTTCCAGTCAGTGATGCCTATCAGTGCCAGTCAGTGCCACCTATCAGTGCCACCTATCAGTGCCATATATGAGTGCTGCCTTTCAGTGCCCATCAGTGATGCCTGTCAATGCCCATCAGTGCCACCTACCAGTGCCTCCTCATCAGTGCCCATCAGTGCAACCTATCAGTGCCCATCACTGCAGCCTCATTAGCGCACATCAGTGAAGAAGAAAAATCACTTATTTACAAAATTTTATAACCGAAATTAAGAAAAAATATTTTTTTTCCTCCCAAAATTTTCAGTTGTTTTTGGTTTGTTTGGCAAAAAATAAAAAACCCAGAGGTGATTAAATACCACCAAAATAAAAGTTTTATCTGTCTCAAAAAAAGCTAAAAAATTAATATGGGTACAGTGTTGCATGACCGTGAAATTGTCATTCAAAGTGTGACTGCGCTGAAAGCTGAAAATTTGCCTGGGCAGGAAGGGGGTATAAGTACCCTGTAGGCAAGTGGTTAAAGTGGTTGTAAACTCCTCATTTATTAGAGGCTTACGTGTAGGTTAAAAACGTGCACTATTTAGGAGATATTCACATGTTTGGCAGCCATTGATGTCAACCCATGCCATTCCTTTATAGCTCTGTGCCATGGCCATGATTCCTGCATGAATACCGCATGATGTCATTGTGGCTCAGTGATTCAATTAGCTGCAGCCTGGGAACCCAGAAGGAAGACCAGGTGAAAATGGAAGCCTCTGAAGTGTGAAAGTTTACTACTGCTTTAAACAATTTTGCCTTGAACCTTGTTTCTGATGAACCTTGAAGTCTTTGCTCCTCCCATGAGCTTCCTGGTTTAAGCCATGTCTCCTCAATTCCTGTTTGCCAAATTATTGTGATCTTCTCTGGCCGATATCTTGCTCCTTTTCACTCTTGCTGCTGCACATATCTTACTGACCTTTGGCTTGTTCCTTAACTATGCTTATGCTTCACCTCAATCTGCAACTAGTTGTTATTGACCTTTGGTTTGTTTATCGATCACTTTCCATTTGATCCCAACCTGCAACCACCTATCACCTACCTTTGTGCTTGTTTACTGACTACACTTCTACTTGATCTGTACTTGCTACATCTGCTACCAGGTCTCAGCTTGCTCACCTCCTGGTGGGGTGATCCTGAGAACAGCGACTTGGCACTAGCACGTAGAAAAACCCATCTCTACCCAACCTCCAGTAAAAATGGGTTAGTGCTTAAACCCCGCACTTTGTGTGATCCCTTGTCATCTACCAGGGTATGTATCCAAAATGTGTACTTATCCTACTGGTCTCTGGGCCTGACCCCTGACTGTGACACCTGCTTTAGTCCAACAGAAGAATTTACGTAGTTCTTTAAATCCTGGGGCAAGGAGTTATTGTTATAAAAAGTCCAAGGGGTGTATGGGGCAGTAATATTCTTCTAGAATATGAATTAATAAATGAATGCTTAAGCAATGGGTTAGTAATATATTTTTGAAGACCAGGAGCAGTCTATAGAAGTGTGTCTATCACCATAGGTGGAAGGAGGCATGCTTTGGAACAAAAATATTTTATTTGTTTATACAGCTCAGTTTAGGCAGCTAATGAATAACTTATTGTGAATATTTTACAAATAATCATATAATTGTGTGTCTTATTTTGTTATGTTATCCAAACCAATTTCATTTACATATTGGTAATGGCAAGTGCATCTAAATTAAAAAAGGAATATAATGAAGATACTATAGAAGATACAACAGTATACAATTGGAAAGCAACAGGGCAGTTTTAATCTCGGATAGCAGGCCTAACTGGTGTATGGCTAACATTTATTTAATCTATGGAAATATAGGGGGGGGTTGCAGTGAATGCTAGTTATTTAATGTGAGGTGGTTTAGGTTCAAACAATTCTTATTCCTATTTTATTTTTCAAACAATACAAAAAAATAAGCTCTTGGATGGTCTATTAGCAAAAACTGCCAAATGTGCTGTAATCATCCTAAGATTAACCACTTAAGCTCAGGAAGATTTTACCTCCTTCATGACTAGGCCATTTTTTGCTATTCAGCTGTTAGATAGTGAGTTTATGTGAAATATCCATTAATGGATGTAAATAATGTTATAATTACAAGTATATTTTAGTTAGATGGAAATATACAGTATTTAAACCATTGAGTGTTTTGCAGCGTCAAAACTTTCTAGCTTCCATACTGGTGTGAATATATTAAGTTTTCCACTATACAAGTTCTGGCCTTTTGTTGTCCCAGTAGCATATCTCACATGAGTAGTAAACAGCAGCCTTCTTTGAATTTCCAATCAGGCTGTGCCCAATATACATTGCCTAGGTACACTGTCAAATTAGTGAGCATTATATTAGCCACAGTACAGACAGGAGGGGGGATATAAGGCCTGGTCACCCAGCTGGAGGTCTCTTTGTGATGAGACACACACAGCAGGCAGGATCACTAAACCTGAAGTTGAGAGGTAAACTAACTTCATACTTGTGTTGTACATTGTATTTTAAACATGGTTTTGTGGGTAAATTGTAAATAACTGTACATTGTATTGTAAATACTGCTTAGCGTGTACTTTGTATACATTATGTACCTCTATCAATAAATGTATATTGCAGATGGAACTACCTCTTTTGAGTAGGAACTCTCAGATCTACCTGGATATATGTAAATACTCCTACAAGGATTGGCATGTATTCACAAATACACGTAACCTAGTCAACACAGCACAGAGCTACTTTACCTGGCAATTGCGCGGTCATGCAACACTGTACCTAACTGAAATGTATAACTTTTTTTTTACACAAATAGAGCTTTACTTTGGTGGTATTTGAACACCATTGGGTTTTTTTTAAATTCTATTCTATTTTATATGTAAATTAAACAAGACCAAACATTTAGAAAATAACAATATTGTTTACTTTCTACTGTAAAACATATCAAATAAAAAAAAAATATTCATTAATTAGGCCTAAATGTATTTTGCTGCACGTCTTTGATTTGTGTGAAAGTTATAGCACCTGCAAACTGTTGTATGTATGCTTGAATTTGTATTTATTTATTTTTATACTAGTAAAGTGACCAGTTCTAGTGGGACTGTGACAGTGTGGCACGCAATCTGACACTAACTGACACTGGGTGGGTGCTGACTAACTGCTACTGACAACTCCAGTGACACTAATACAGTGATCAGTGCTAATACTATACACTGTTACTTTACTAATGACGCTGCCTGGGAAGGGGTTAGCATTGAGGAGCAATCCAAGAGTTAACTGTATGCCCAACAATGTGTAATGTGTATAATATGTGCTGATTTTGCTAAGTGATGTTCTTGTTTTTTCTACCTGCTTTGCAGAGAGCAATAAAGGCACATTGCTGCTGTCTGCATAGAGTCCTGTGTTGTTAGTAAACACAAGGCTCTCTACTGTCATTCACAAAGCAATCAGCAGGTGCTGACCATAAATACTTGGTCAGAACCTGATGATCAGCTTGTGCTGTAGCAAATGACAGCACAGAAGGGGCAGCAGGCACACATGTCCCCTACCTGGAAAAGCCAGATCACATACATATATGTGATCTGGCGCAGAGAGTCTGACTTGCCACAGTAAATCTACATATGGCAGTTGGCAAGTGGTAAGGTTAGAATCTAAAAAAAAATGTGAAACAAAAGTAGCTCAGATGTTGACATTTGAAGAGTTGACTACTGTATCAATCAGTTGTTGTGGACAAGTAAAATGTATTTTTGGGTGTACTAAACTGTACCCACAAGTAATGCACAACGTTCTTACAAGTCCTATGCAAATCTGTCACTATGCACAACCCCTATGTTTTCCCTATCCCAGCTCAACACATTTTCATTATGGATGATGGGACTCATGCTTGTTTATACTGAGGAGCTAGTCAAAATGAAACCCCCTATTATTCAAAACTAGCTGACCCAAGGTCAGAGGTCAGGAAATGCATTATTAGTAGTTGATTGCTACCACATTTACCATTAGTAAGCTGGGTCTGGGTGCATGAGCTAGGTTTTTCTTGAACCCACACTCAGCAAGAACCAGAAGCTCATTCCTACGTGACAATACCCCACACTGTACTATTGTACTGTGTGTGTTAATTAGTCTTCACCATTTCACTGTGCATACTAATCTTTATATTTTATAGTTTACGTTGATCTGGTTTGTACATTGTGCTAGACATTCTATACTACACAGAACACCACTGTATGCACTCTGCACTCTACTATGCAATATATATTGCTTCCTCTATCTTTTATCATTGTACACTTTGCCAAACACTGCACTGCGTTCAACATCATGACCACTTGCATGCCTACAATTTTGTTAGTATTTATGAAGAGTAACATAAGCCACTAATACAAATAGACCGACACTTCAGAGAAATGAGAGAAAGAGAATACCCATTGTGTAACTACAGGGATTGTTAAGCATGCATCTATCACTGATCATATGAGGTCAGAGGGCTCAGGCATAACTGGTTCACCTTCTATTTACCAGCTGAGTGCTCTCATTATATTTGTTTTTTATAAAATAAAACAATATTTTCTTTCCTTCATATCCCTGTTTCTGTTCTCTTATTTGATGATTGAATCTCCAGAAACCTTATGTTAAAAAAAGAACAGACCATACACTATAAAAAATAGCAGTGCAAAGATTCAGCGAGTATCACTATACATTAGATTTAATATGACAACTACCTTTCTCATAATTTGCATAATATGACTCTTGACATTTTTGTTTTAACTATTTGATATTTCGATGTGATTTTATTCTGCTTACTATTTACTGGGGTAAGGAAGTTGAAAAGAACTTGCATCAAGCAAAGTTTCACTTAACTCTCTTACCGCTAGGATTCCCACACCTACATATTGCTGCAATATTCACCTTTAATCCAAAGATTTCCTCATTAAGTAGTTTTATCTGAAACCAGATATTCACTGCCTGATGACCAGCATCATTCAACCAACTTTCTCTAAACCAAGCCTTTCACTTGATAGTGATGTGC